ATCCTTAACATTTTCATAAGTAACTGTAATTTAATTACATATTTTTTCTCAGTAACTGTAACTGATTACAATTACTTTTATTTTGTAATTAAATTACGTAATTCCGTTACATGTAACTAGTTACTCCCCAACACTGCTTATTTCAGAGTGAAAGAGCATGTAGCAACATGCAGAAAAGTATTCCAAACACCCTAGCAACCTCATAGTAAAGTAATAAAAACTAGCTGCAAAATAACATGCTGAAAACTATCTTCAGAAACCGCATAGCAACATTCTAAAAACTAAACCAAATGCCTTAGCAACCGCATAGCAACTCGTTGGACACTATTCCGAACACCTCAGTAACTGCATAGCAACTTTCTAAAAGCTAAACCAAACGCCTTAGCAACCGCATAGCAACACGTTGGACACTATTCCGAACACCTCAACAACCGCATTGCAACTTTCTAAAAACTAAACCAAACACCTTAGCAACTGCATAGCAACACATTGAACACTATTCTAAACACCTCAGCAACCGCATAGCAACACATTGGACACTATTCCAAGACACCTAAGCAACCGCATAGCAACTTTCTAAAAACTAAACCAAACACCTTAGCAACTGCATAGCAACACATTGAACACTATTCTAAACACCTCAGCAACCGCATAGCAACTTTCTAAAAACTAAACCAAACGCCTTAGCTACCGCATAGCAACACATTGGACACTATTCCAAAACACCTCAGCAACCGCATAGCAACTTTCTAAAAACTAAACCAAACGACTTAACAACTGCATAGTACCACGTTGGACACTATTTCGAACACCTCAGTAACCGCATAGCAACTTTCTAAAAACTAAACCAAACGACTTAGCAACCGCATAGCAACACATTGAACACTATTCCAAACACCTCATCAACCGCATAGCAACTTTCTTAAAACTAAACCAAACACCTCAGTAACCGCATAGCAACACATTGGACACTATTCCAAACACCTCAGCAACTGCATAGCAACTTTCTAAAAACTAAACCAAACGCCTTAGCAACCGCATAGCAACACATTGAACACTATTCCAAACACCTCAGCAACTGCATAGCAACTTTCTAAAAACTAAACCAAACGCCTTAGCAACCGCATAGCAACACATTGAACACTATTCCAAACACCTCAGCAACTGCATAGCAACTTTCTAAAAACTAAACCAAACGCCTTAGCAACCGCATAGCAACACATTGAACACTATTCCAAACACCTCAGCAACTGCATAGCAACTTTCTAAAAACTAAACCAAACGCCTTAGCAACCGCATAGCAACACATTGAACACTATTCCAAACACCTCAGCAACCGCATAGCAACTTTCTAAAATCTAAACCAAACGCCTTAGCAACCGCATAGCAACACATTGAACACTATTCCAAACACCTCAGCAACCGCATAGCAACTTTCTAAAATCTAAACCAAACGCCTTAGCAACCGCATAGCAACACATTGAACACTATTCCAAACACCTCAGCAACCGCATAGCAACTTTCTAAAAACTAAACCAAACACCTCAGCAACTGAATAGCAACTCTAATAGATTTCGCTCTGACACGTTGTGCAGGAGTTTAACCCTGAAGAGTTCTACCATCTGCTGGAGGCGGCTGAAGATCACGCTAAAGAAGGACACCTGATGAAGACCGACATCCCGCGATACATCATCAGTCAGCTGGGTCTGACCAGAGACCCTCTGGAGGGTGAGAGACCACAGTCACACAACAATCACACAGCACTGATTCCAGTACAGTGAACCGGCAGTAGATCAATGACCGACTGTCATGTCTGTGTTTCAGAGATGGTCAGTCGAGAGCATTACGACAGTGAGGGGCCGGTCACACCAGAGACAGACGACTCTGCAGAGGTCTGAACACACACACACACAGCCCCGGGAAATCTGAAAATGATTGCTTGTCAGTAAAGCATCTGTTACAAGATGATAATGACATCCTGTGCGAGAGTTGAGCGGATTTTTCTCTTTTCCAGGGAAGAATGAAACCCATGAAGCCACCTGGAGAGGAAGATTTCCAGACCATCAAACTGATCAGCAATGGAGCCTATGGGTAAACCAGCACACACACACACACACGTTTGATTCAATATCTAGATGAGGATAGAAAGTTTAATAGAGCAACATTTATTTGTAACTGAAAGCTATTGTAACATTATAAATGTCTTTACCGTCACTGTGGATACAAAAACATCTACTAAATAACCAAACGCACACAGAGAAGTTGAGACACTGACAGAAGTTGCTGTGTTTTAGCGCGGTGTATCTGGTCCGCCATCTAGAGACGCGGCAGCGCTTCGCTATGAAGAAAATCAACAAACAGAACCTGATTCTGAGGAACCAGATCCAGCAGGCATTTGTGGAGCGAGACATCCTGACCTTCGCCGAGAACCCCTTCGTGGTCAGCATGTTCTGCTCCTTTGAGACTAGACGACACCTGTGTATGGTCATGGAGTACGTGGAGGGTGAGACACGCACACACTTTTATTGCTCTTTTAAAGCTTTATTGACTTTATTGAGGTCTCAGGTGTGTTTTCTTTAAGTATCAACTCTCAGATGTTTCTCTTAAACTGCCTGAGAAATAAAACAGACCCAGACGGGTGTATAGTCGTCATCCAGTAAGAGTCTAGGGTAGGGCTGGGCGACTTTTATTATGGTTGGAGCTAAACCCTGCAGGACAGTGGCCCTCCAGGACTGAAGTTGCCCAGCCCAGGTCTAGGGCTGTAAAATGAATGTGGAAAGCAGCTCAGATCATTTGATGAGAAAAGTTTGAGTTCATGTTGGGGATCTCGAGCAAATCTGAGCACAGTTTGAGATCTCTTCGGAAACACTTGAGGAGACGTGTGAGATTACTGGAGTCTTTTTAAAACATCTGAGAAGCAGGATACTTCTGTATTGTAGTCATATGAGAAACAACTGAGATGTTAATGAGATGTTAATTTTGTTTCAGGAGGCGACTGCGCGACACTGCTGAAGAATATTGGAGCGTTGCCTGTGGAAATGGCGCGCATGTATTTTGCTGAAACCGTGCTGGCACTCGAATACATCCACAACTATGGAATCGTGCACCGAGATCTCAAACCAGACAAGTAATACGCCAATGACATTTAAAATATTTCTGAATTATATTTAATGATGATGGCAGGGAGCATGTCATTTACTAAATGACCATGTGCATTCAATTAAATGATTGCTGAGATTCATTTTCCATCTGTTGTGCAATGACATAGAGCACTTCCTGTATGAGATTGATGATATCGTTTAATTTGGACAGATTGTGTTATATAATTAAACACATGTCAGAAGTGCCACTCAGCTTGAGTGTGTGTTACTGTAGAGACTGTCTCACATATTCTCTGTCTGTCTGTATCTCTCTCTCTCCATCAGTCTGCTGATCACGTCAATGGGTCACATTAAACTCACTGATTTCGGTTTGTCTAAAATGGGTCTCATGAGTCTCACCACAAACCTGTACGAGGGACACATCGAGAAGGACACCAGGGAGTTCCTGGATAAACAGGTACCAGAGAATACTTACAATATTCTATACTGCACATAGTCATGGTCTAAAAGCCACAAAACTACAGTTTTAATAGGTTGTTTGCACATGACGTCACTGATGACGCGCGCAATGCAGCTGGAGGGCAGGAAGTGATTTTTCTCTCCATAGGAATCACTAGCAAATGCCAGTGTTTTGCGTTGTTTATGGATGCTCAAATCGGACAAACCGAGAAACCACAAGGAGCTTTTATCGTGTACGAAAATGTGTTGTTCATAAGGGGGAAAAAGTCAAGAAATTCATTGAAAAACGCAGGAAAAAGTGGCTTGTAAACCTGCGTTTGCGGTCGGGATCGAAAGTGAATCCCGTATTTATATGAGGGATGCGGGATATATATGTCACTCCTGAAACTTTGCTGCATGTACAGGGTGTGGCTGTTGGTCCTGTTAGCAACACCTAAAACAACTTTTATTTAAATTCTGAATCGATTATAGCCTGCCTAGAAAGCGAGCAAATAGCGCTTTCATCTAACGTTAATCACTAAAAAGCTGTCACTCACTTCAATTTATCGCAATCTCACGATTCCGTGAACTGCAAACAATATCTTATTTACATCGTGTCTATGTGTGACATTTAGCCTTCAGTGAATTCTGACAGTGTCATGCATTTCGTGCGTCATCAGAATCACGTGATTGCAAACAACCTATTTCATTGTGTGCCTATTTAATTTAGTTATTTTTTATCATAACAAAAGTAATTAGCACATTCAAGTTTATGATAAAGTGTCACTGATGAAGTGTTGATGAAGCAACACCTTAGCAACTGCATAGCAACATGCTAAAAATGATTTCAAGCACTGTAGCAACTGCATAGCAACATGCTGAAAACTATTACAAATGCCTCAGCAACTGCATAGCAACATGCTGAAAACTATTCCGACCACCTCAGCAACCGCCTAGCAACACACTGAAAACTATTCCGACCGCCTCAGCAACCACATAGCAACACGCTGAAAACTATTCCGACCGCCTCAGCAACCGCATAGCAACACGCTGAAAACTATTCCAACCGCCTCAGCAACCGCATAGCAACACGCTGAAAACTATTACAAACGCCTCAGCAACCACATAGCAACATACTGAAAACTATTCCGACCGCCTCAGCAACCGCATAGCAACATGCTGAAAAGCAATCCAAACACCTCATAACCGCATAACAACGCCCTGAAAACTAGTCCAAACACCTTAGCAACCGCATAGCAACACACTGAAATTGTAGTAGCTTGGCTTTATTGTAGTAGCTTTTGCAATTGTCTCTAAATTAAAATGACTTGATTCATTTAATTTATTTTAACATAACAAATGTAATGTAGCAGAATTTATAATTCAAGGTGATGATAAAGTGTCACTGATGTTGTCATGTTAAGAGGCTTGACTGTCGTTCTTTGACCTTTGACCCCAGGTTTGCGGCACCCCAGAGTATATCGCCCCGGAGGTGATCCTGCGGCAGGGTTACGGCAAGCCAGTGGACTGGTGGGCCATGGGCATCATCCTCTACGAGTTTCTGGTGGGCTGCGTGCCGTTCTTCGGCGACACACCGGAGGAGTTGTTTGGTCAGGTGATCACAGGTAAAGACACACGTACAATAAAAACACCAGATAGTTCACACGGAGAAACTTTCTCATGAATCCAAATAAAGAAGATGTACACAATGTCAAATATGCATGTGTGTAGATGACATCGTGTGGCCCGATGATGATGACGCCCTCCCCGCTGATGCGCAGCACCTGATCGCATCTCTCCTGCAGACAAACCCGCTGCTCAGACTGGGCACAGGTGACGTCACACACCTGCAGTCATGTGACCAGCTGTCACTAAAGACGCCGATGTAATCTAAATGTTAGAGCTGTTGACTTAGATAAGAGCTGTACTATAAGGCCTCTAAATCTGCTTGTATGAACCATGTTTGAAGCATCGTCTCAGCACATAGCAACACGTTGAAAACTATTCTGACCGCATCACCAACCGCATAGCAACATGCTGAAAACTATTCCGACCGTCTCAGCA